AACTATTTTTAACAACAATAAACACAACCAAGCCACACAGAAAATTGACAATACGGAGTCCAAAGACAACTAAATGCTCAGCTAAACCGGTAAGAGAAGCGAAGCCAGCAGTGGAGCAGGTTGGCAAGAAAAAATCCCCGGGTGGTGCGCGGTGCGCAAGCAGCCAAAGGCGCTGATCGTGGGCTAGCTACAGGAGCACACAGGGAAGAGGCGCAGTGGGCTGTCTGCCGTCGGTCAGTCGGGCAGCTGCGTGTGGATAAACCAGTGAGAAGGGAAGCCTGTGCGGGACAGCAGGCTCGCACAATTCCAATTGGATAAACAGGCCCGGGGTGAGTGGTGTGACTGGACGGAGGACTGGGCTATCTGATCGGACCGCCAGTGCTCCCTCTCTGACCACGCCCCCACACACAGCATCACAAACTAGCAACCTGGGTCGCCCTGTCCTGGTAAACAACTAAGGCTTCGCTCCGCTTACTTAACGGCACGAATAGACCAAAAATGGCTCTAGGACAACTCAGAGCCCCAGAACCCATAGATCTAAGCGATGAAGAAATAGCCAGTCTTTCAGATGCACAGTTCAAAACACTGGTTATCAGGATCCTTACAGAACTGGTTGATTTTAGTCACAAATTAGAGAAACATATGGAAGCTAAACTAATTGAAATGAATGGTAATACAAAGGAAACCAATAGTAATGGAAAGAAAATTGGGACTCAAATCAAGGGAGTGGACCACAAGGAAGGAAAGAATGATCAAACAGAAAAGAATGAAGAAATAAGAATTCAGAAAAATGAGGAAAAGCTTAGGAACCTCCAGGACATCTTTAAATGTTCCAACATCCGAATTATAGGGGTACCAGAATGGGGAAAGGCACAGCCACCAGTGGAAAACTTATTTGAACAAATAATGAAGGAAAATTTCCCCAAACTGGCAGAGGAAATAGACTTCCAGGAAATCCAGGAAGCTCAAGAGTCCCAAAGAAGTTGGACCCAAGAAGGAACACACCAAGGCACATCATCATTACATTAGCCAAGATTAAAATGAAGGAGAGAATCCTAGAAGCAGCAAGAGCTAAGGGAACAGTCACCTACGAAGGAGTTCCCATCAGACTGTCAGCTGATTTCTCAAAAGAGACCTTACAGGCAAGAAGGGGCTGGAAAGAGGTATTCCAAGTCATGAAAACCAAAGACCACAACCAAGATTGCTCTACCCAGCAAAGTTTTCATTTAGAATGGAAGGACAGATAAAGTGCTTCTCAGATAAGACCAAAGTCAAGGAGTTCATCATCACCAGGCCCTTATTATATGAAATGTTAAAGGGACTTACCTAAGAAAAAGAAGATAAAAAAGATGAACAGTGAAAGGACAGCAAACTCACAGTTACTAACAACCACACCTAAAACAAAAGCAAACTAAGAGGACAGCTAGATCAGGAGCAGAACCATAGAAATGAAGATCTCATGGAGGGTTAGCAACAGGGGAGTGGGAGGAGGGGAAGGGGGGAGCAGGTACAGAAAATAAGTAGCATAGACAGTAGATAGAAAATAGATAGGGGGGAGGGTAAGATTAGTAGGAGAAATACAGAATCTAAAGAATTTGAGACACATGTTCATGAACTAAAGGGAGAAATGGTGGGGGAGGGGCATGCAGGGTGGAAGGGAATGGCGGGAGGGGGAATAGAGCAAATGTAATGGCATAATCAATAAAAAATAAAAATAAAAATAAAAAATAAAATTAAAAAAAGGAAATTAAACAAAAAAAAGTTAAAAAAAAAGAAAACTCTAGGTTAAGACCAGATGTTGAAAAAATGCTGAGAAATACTGACATAACAAAGGAAAAAGTCAGAACAATGACATAACCAATAATAGCCACATCAGCAAGTCTGACCCTGAATGGACTCAAAGGTTAAGGTGTTGGGCAAATTTTTAAATTATCTTTAGAGCAGAAAGAAGAGATATTAAGCCCACAGCTAGGAGCTGATGCTTAATGTTAATGAAAACAAACAACAACAAAACCCATAAGTTGTCTACCTATATTTTTAGGGGTCTTCTCTGCCAAGAAGAAATGCTCTTCAAAGATTAGGAGAAGATAGATGAAGATAAATATAAACAAGGGACTAGGGTGGAGTGGGGTGGAAGGCATGGTACATACTTGCAACTTGTAGATAAATAAGTCCTGGATACCTAAGACACAATACAACAATTATAGGCAACAAAACTGTATTATAAACATCAAACTTGCTAAGAGATTAGAACATAATTGCTCTCAACACTAGAAGAACTGGTAACTATGTGATGTTCTAAACATGTTAGCTAGTGCTACAATGACACTCCTACTGCGGTATAAATGTACCACATCAATATATTGCACTCCTTAAACTTACAATTTGACGTATGTCAAATATAACTCGATAAAAAATTAAAAATAAATAAGTAAATGAAGTTCTTCAGACTAGAATTAGTGGGAAGAAACATCAAGAAGAAAGATGTGAAGGCTGAAAGAGTGAGGGCTTAGGGCGAGAGGTCACATAGCTGACAGTCCAACGGCCCGCCAGAGCTTGCTGGTGTTGGGGCAGAACTCTTGGGGTTTTGCTGGACCTTCAGGGCTCAAGTCTGTACAGAAAACTAAACTAAGCTTTGCAGAACTAAATTAATAAAAGAAGATGACCGGGGCCATTTAGTGCTGAGACAAGTACTTTCATTCATCTCAGTAAGACCTGAGGGGGTTAGTATGTTACAAAGCCTCATAGGGATTACTGTCCATGATGGCAGTCATCTAGAAAATTCCATTTGCTCCATGATCTTTATACAAGAAAACAAGAAATTGTAAATGCATTTAGGAAAATATTCCTTCCATCTAAACTGGAGTAATTTCGTTTCTTGGTTAGATATTTATTTAGTCAGTGGCATCCACAACCCATGTCAGAAATCTGGAGCTCACCCTTGACCCTTGCATCTCCCTCACTTGCCAGTCTTGCCGGGTCCCACCATTACAGTCCCACTGACCTGACTTCCGATATTTCCCCAGATCATCTTCCCTTTTATTCTTTACAATCACTGCTTCTCATCATCTCTTGTGGCCTCACTCCTCTCTGTTCTCAGCGTAACTCTTTCCAGCTTGTCCCCATCTGAGAGTGAGTAATCTTAAATGCAAACCAATGCCCCTCAGCCCAGCTTCAATCCCTTCAAAGCTCCCTATTGCCCTTGGGATAAAGTCCCTATTAATTGTCCCTCGTCTCAATCCCCACTTAGCTTTTCCCACCCAATTTTTGTCCAAAAACATCAAGCTCTTTATATTTCTCTGAATAGCCCTCATGAATATATCTTAAACATATGGTTTCTTAGCCCACCTCAGGCACCATATACCCACTCTCTGATGAACCCCCCTTGCCCATTCAAATGTAGAAAAGGTCTCAGTTCTGGCCTCCAGGACCCTACACCAGACTCATCTCTAATGTCCTGTACAAATATCGCCTATAACTGGTCATGGATTATATAGAAATAGGTTATGGATGTGCTTGCCCTGCCACCATCCTGCCACCACCAACAGGACTATGGGCTCCCTGAGGCCAGAGGCCGTGTTTATTCTTGTCTATTTTCTCAATGCTGAGTGCAGTGCCCAAGAGGTAGTGGGTGCTGAATATGTTTGATCAACTGACTTTGTTTGAACATTGAAGCATCTTAAAAATCATGTATCCAGAATGCTGCATTCCCAAAGGTGCTGAAGAACCAACAATTACGAAAGGCATTCACATGCATGCCTTTTCTGTTACCACAGTATAAATTCCTAAAGGCAACACACCAGACTCTTCATCTTTGTACTCCCATAAATTCCAACCAGTGATCTGCACAAACAGGCGCTGGATGAGAGGGGCACTGAGGCCAGCGGACAGAAATGCAGTAGTTCCTGAACAAACATCCTCCAGAAAAGACTGGGAGTGGGAAAGGCTGATCAACTTGGAAAACGTTTCACAGAGGATATTCTAGAATGGGAGGTCAGAGCTCCTCTCTGGAAAGCACTCACTGGTGAGTTTAAATGCTACAAATTCTAGAAGATTTAAACAATGCATCATCTGTGTAACACTGAGCAAACAGAGACAACAGAATTGACTGAATTTTTAAAATCTGAGTTTGACCTAAACAAAATAATTATGAAGTGATGGGCATAGCCAACAGGAAATAGAGATCGCTCCTTCTCATCAACACATCAATTATAACAAAAGTCATCTTACAGAATTTCAGAGGAATTACATTAAATAAATATAAGGCATGTGGCTCCAGTTTTGAGGAACTTTTTCATTACTCTTGGTTTGCACTGCCGTTTCATCACACAACCTATTTGTCAGAACAAGACCCTAATAAAAAAAAGGAGGGACATACAATAAGGATTGGCCTTAATCTAACAGAAAATATTTCAATACAAATGAAAGAAATTGTGAAGCTTAAAAAACCCTCACTATCCTACTACCCTTTGCAACAACATGGATGGAACTGGAAAGCATTATGCTGAGAGAAATAGGCCAGGCATTGAAGGACAAATACCATATGATCTCACCTTTGACAGGAAGCTAAACAATAAAACAAACAAGAAAACAGAATAAAAACAAAGACACTGAAATAGAGAACAAGTGGGCAGTGACCAGAGGGGAGAGAGAAGGGAATTTAAGGGGAAAATGGGGAGGGATTTTGAGGAACAAGTATGAAAGACACAGGGATGAGGACTGGGGGGGGGAATGGTAGAGAGGGGGGAGACAGGGCTGGGGGGGGCTGGGATGTGAGAAATAGACAAAAAATGTACTTGAAAAATAACTAAATAAAAATTAAAAAATCCTCACTATCCTAAATAAAAATACAGCATCTATTATTAGCATTACACAAATTCTAGATTGAAGCATTCAACTATGGTGCCAACCTAGACTTTCTATTGACATCTCTAGTCTTCCATCACCAACAGAAAGACTACATCACCTGGCACTGTCATTATTGAGGAGTAGTACTTTACCACTGAGTTCAAAGGACTCCATTGTAGAAAACATGGTTTGGTCCAGAGCAGTTATTTCTCCCATGTTAAGAACTCTTCCTCCTCGAGAATTTCTGTATGTTTCAACACTAAGCTTTATAGATGGTTAAAGTCCTGGAGCCAGCAGAAATGCTTCCCACATGAGGAACCAGTTGGGAAAAGATTGTTCCCATTTAACTACTGTAGCTAGTTGTAGACCTCGCAGCACTTCCTTTTGGCTCTGATTTCTGAATTTGCAAAATGTTTCCTGCCATTTCTCAAAAACAGCCTATTCACATGTACAGAGCTCCTGCTTAATGCAGCTGCTTGGTGAGGGCGGGTCTTAGATGGCTTTCTGTGCGGGAGTCTCTGAAACCACCCCTTGTTCCCAGGCTCCTGAGAGCAGAGAAGTGGATGACCCCGGAACACTGTTTCTCTACCTCCCCTCCCCCTACCTAATCTCAGAGCCAGCTCACTGCCCCAGGGCCTCTCCAGCCCACACTCAAATCTCCTTTCTCTGACCTTCTGCTCTTGGGGTTCATCCTTGCTACTGAAGTGCTGACCATGGACCGGCTACATTTCCATCACCTGGAAACTTGTTAGAAATGAAGTCTCAGGATCCACCCTGTACAGACTGAATCTAGATGTATGGTTTAACAAGATCCCCAGGTGATGTGTGTTCACATTCATATTGGAGAGGCACTGCTCTATGCCACACATTTTAGCATTCAACTATGTTTCCCTTTACAGTTTTCCCACATTCTATGTGTACACATGTGTACTTGCTCTGGTCCTGGTAAGATCTGAGAAACTTGATGGGAGAAACCTCTTCCTCTGTGTCCTGTGCTGGGCAGGCCCTACTGGGGAGGTTGTACGGTGCATTGGTTAAGAAGACACAGACCCTAACAGCTCAAATGCCTGGGTTTGAATTTCATTTCCTCCACATAACAGCTACGTGACTGTGAGCAAGTCACTTAAGCTTTAAGTGCCATATTTCCCTCATTTGTAAAATGGAAAGCTTGTAATAATTTTTATGTATATTAAATGAATTAAATTGTGCAAGGTGGCTAAGATGGCTTCTGGTGGCAATGAGCACTAAGGTAACATTGCCAATTATCACTGGAGACGTTGTGAAGTGTGCCATGGAGATGAAGGAACCAGCCTTTGCCTTAAAGGAGTTCATAGTCTAGTATGCAGGATGGATGTTGACACAATTGAACTCCAGAAAATCGCTGCTAAGTGGAGTGGTGATTGAAACACCTGAGAGGACAGAAGTGGCCTGGAGGTGGGGCCGGCAGGATGTCAATACCATAACGAGCTTCATGATCCAATCTGGGTGTAAAGGGATGACTACATGTTTACCTGGAAAGCAAAATAAGGCAAGGGCCTTTCGGTAGGAAAAATGGCAAGTACTGCCTCACATAGGTAGGGGCACCACAGACTTCTGGGTGAGGAGGAGAGGCAGCAGGAGATGAGGCTGGGCTGGCTGGCTCACTTTCTTTGTTCTGTGGCATGGCAGAGAGCAAAGGGGGGAGAAACTCAGAAAAGTGGGCTACTGGCAATGCCCCACATGGCAGAGGTCCCTCGTGGTACACACAATGTCAACATTCAGGAAGTCTCTGTTTTGGCCCAGGGCTAGGTAGGAACAGAAGCCAGAAGAGAAAAGGTTAAAAGGAGATAACTGAAAGTGAATCGATGAAGGCAGCTGGGCTCGGCCAGAAATTTGGGTGGACAGCACAAGATAATAGAGGCTTCAGAGGGATTCCCATGCAGGAGGGAAATCCCCCAGGCAAAGGAACCCAGCCTCACTTAGGTAACAATGCCTCCTCCCTCTGCCTGTCCAGCTCGGCTCTGACCAAGACCATCCTCATTTGAGGGTTAGGGAAGAGGCTCATTGGAAAGCACTGGGCTCATGACCTAGTGCCACCATCGTCGAGCATTTAGTGAATGTCAAGTATAGATGTTTTGGCTCTGCCTATGGGGCCAGACAGACCTGGAACCCAAACTTGCTTATAGACACAGTCCTAGCTTGCAGAAACATTAACTATTATCCAGAATTTATTAGGTGCCGGGCAGTATGCTAGACTTTATATACATTAATCAATACTCACAACAACTCGTAACTTGCCTCAGGTGGTTAGAATTAGATGACACCAGAAATCAAATCCAGAATCCCCTGCCTCTATACCCAGTATAATCCAGAAGCTAGAATCCAGTGGTTTGAACCAGAGGACCTTTCTGAAAACTCACGTGCCAGTCCCCACCTGCAGCCAGAGGCTCTGGTTTTAATAGCAACCTCATGGTGGGTTCTAATGCACAGCCAGCCTGAGGACTCCTGTGCAGAAGAGTGAAGTGGTCACATGCAGCACAAAGACCTATGTGGGCCCTCAGGACTCCATCCTGAGAGGATCAATTAGGTTGGATCCCTTTTGACATGCAATACAACAACCAATTCATAGGATGCAAGCAAATACACCCAGCTGCAGGCCCAGAACTAGAGTGAGGCAAATTCAGTATTAGCATGGGGTACAAAACATTCAGTAATCAGGGTAGATAATATAGGAACACAATCTTTTAAAATTGACAACTAATGCAAAAAGCCCATTGTGAACAAAACATCAACATTTTAAATAAAGACAGGATCCCATGCTGCACTTGTGAATTACTGGTCACTCACTCAGCCTGGCCTCAGCCCTGCTCATTACCCTGGGCTTCAGCATCCCCATTGCAAAATTGGATTCCAGTAGGCACCATGTCTGCCCACAGGGTGGATGTAAGAATGAAACAAAATAATAGAACTGTAAGCACATTTGTAAATGAAAGGGCTCGAGGTAGAATAGCATCTACTATCAAACCACATTCATAATGTGAAATGCCTGCATTCTCCACGTTACCCTTAAAAATCCTTTAGATCTTCCATAAAGTACAAAACACACAATTTGGGATAATTGTGCAGTCTGTTCCTAAGTCCCACTCAGATACTTTTATCTTTGAGAACAAGGATCTGGCTGTTATTTCCCATCAGTTGAAGTGGTCAACTTGCATTTGGGGTCCATGTTGTTCAAGAAATGTAGGACTGGGCTTTATTCTTCTAGCAGAGTGCATACAATTGGATTGGAGAATTTAAATGTGTGTTCAGAGTGGCTCTGGTGTAGTTATATCAAGCTCTGATGTTTTCCAGAATGACAGTCACATGGTTCACAGTGCTTTAACAGACAGGGAAATGGGGCTGCAGTCCCATGCAAATGTGGCTCCACTCCTGGTGGCCTCTGCAGAACTTGACTCTATGAACTCGTGGGTTCAAAACTAGTATAGTTGTTGGGCCACCTGGTAGATCATCAAGAACTCCTGCATGACCCCATTCCACCTTAAAACTGAGGCAATCTGGTTATTGCACTGTATAAAAACCACTGACACAGATCCTAATGTTCAAAACAAAACAAACCAAAAAACCCCACAACATGCAGGCTAGCCAAGCCTCCATGGCAATCCCCAAGGCCCTGTCATACCCCACTAGCTGTATGGCCACTTGCCTGCTGTTTGCCCAAGCTCACCAGTGGACATGATGGAAGAAGAACCTGTGCTAAAGAGAATGTATAGGAGACAAATGTTTGAAATTCTATTTTTGCTGTCAGTTGTGCATGTCAGTGTTGGTTAGTGTCCTCAGGCCTTGCTCAGTGCCTGATACCAAATGAAGCTTAACTGTTGATTCATTTTAAAAATTAAAAAAACCCAACACACAAACGACCATTAACAGGCAACTAGGTAAATTAAGATTAATATGGAGTATTACATCCATACAATAGGATACTAATCAGCATAGAAAGAAATAATAAGAATAAGCAATTCTTAAAGAAATAAGATTAGGCTGAATCTTTTTTTTAACTGGTGTTGTGCCAGAATTTTTATTTATTTTATTTTATTTTTAAAAGTATTTTTATTGATTATGCTATTACAGCTTTCCCAATTTTTCCTCCCTTAATCTCCCCTCCACTCCACCTTCCCAACCCTCCACCATCCCCCCACTTAGTTCATGTCCATGGATTGTACATATAAGTTCTTTGAATCCTCTGTTTTCTATATCATTTTATCTCTCCCTGTCTATTTTATGCCTACTAATTATGCTTCTTCTTCCCTGTACCTTTCCCCCCTATTCCTCCCTTCCCACTTTCCACTGAAATCCCTTCATGTGATCTCCATTTCTCTGATTCTATTCCTGTTCTAGTTGTTTGCTTAGTTTCTGTTTTTGTTGTTTTTCTTTTCTTTTAGGTTCATTCATTGATAGTTGTGAGTTTTCTGTCCTTTCACTCTTCATATTTTTTACTTTCTTTTTCTTAGATAAGTCCCTTTAACATTTTATATCATAATGGCTTGGTGATGATGAACTCCTTTAACTTGACCTTATCTGAGAAGCGCTTTGTCTACCCTTCCATTCTAAATGAAAGCTTTGCTGGATAGAGCAATCTTGGATGTAGTTCCTTGCCTTTCATATCTTTCAAGAAAGAAATACTCCTTTCCAGCCCCTTCTTGCCTGTAAGGTTTCTTTTGAGAAATCAGCTGATAGTCTAATGGGAACTCTTTTATAGGTAACTCTCTCCTTTCCCCTTGCTTCTTTTAGGATTCTCTCCATATTTTTTAATCTTGAGTAACTTAATGATGATGGGACTTGGTGTGTTCCTCTTTGGGTCCAACTTCTTTGGGACTCTCTAGGCTTCCTGAACTTCCTAGAAGTCTATTTCCTTTGCCAGATTGGGGGAGTTTTCCTTCATTATTTGTTCAAATAAGTTTTCAAGTTCTTGTTGTTGTTCTTCTCTTTCTAGAACCCCTATAATTTGAATATTGGAATGTTTCACGTTGTCCCAGAAGCTTGTAAGAGTCTCTTCACTTTTTTGAATTCTTGTTTCTCCATTTTGTTCTGGATGGATGCTTAGTTTTTCCTTCTGTTCCAAATTGTTGGTTTGAGTACTGGTTTCCTTCCTGCCACTGTTGGTTCCCTGAATATTTTGCTTTATTTCATTTTGGGTATCTTTCATTTGTTCTTTCATTTTTCAACCAAGCTCAATCATATCTGTGAGCATTTTTGGTTACCAGGGCATTAAATTCTCCATCAGATAGGTTGGCTATGTTTGCATTATGTAGCTCTCTTTCTGAG